TTTTAGAATTCACAAAAAAGTTGATTTCTTGACAACTGTCCTTTAGCTGCGTCACTTCATAATAAATTAGTAGTTTGGTGTGTTGTAGCATAGAACTTTAATTAATTAAGTTATTGCACTGGTATCACAGAGGTGATGGGTTGGAATCCAGTTCACACCTAATTTTTTTTCAGGTTATAATTTCACCTTTGCTTAAGTTGTGTATAGTTGCAATGATCAATCATGTCTTTATGAGTTGATCAATGTATATATGTCCCACTGACTTATACTTTAACATTTTATCTTAAAGTTTGTTTACTTGTTTTATTGTGTGGTTCTAGAAAATGTCCATACCCACCCCAAGGAGATTATTGGAAATTCCAGGGATGAGGAGGGTCTCAAAAGCCAAACTCTTTAAAGAAAAGTATTGATCAAAATTGGATTTCCATAGGGATGGGATGGGGAGATCTCTGTTGAATAAATACGTAAATAATATGTACAGACCCATTATATGATATGAAGACTGTGCAACATATCCTGGCCAATGAGTTGCCAAGGTGTAGCATCCTTGTAATCAATTTCAAGTACCAAATTAAAGAAGATCAGCATGTTGGATGGGAGAGGGGAATGTTTCAAAATATCATAAACTAAAAATATATATATATTTTCCAAACTCAATCATGTTAGTAGTGTTAGTGTCTATTTATTTATTTATTTATTTATTTATTTATTTATTTATTTATTTATTTATTAATGAATACCTGTGAAGAGATAGTCATACATTCTTGCAAATATTCTGGGAGTCTCCCACATACCATTTAGATCATCCAGTCCCCCAGGAAAGTTATGAAATTTATTGTCCAAGTAAACTACTGAACCATGGCTCCAGTGGGGACAGTGCTATTACGATGCAATTTGCAGGTGTGCTACATAATATGAGCTTAACAGTTTTGTTACCACAGCAACAGACTGCATTTCAGACCTTCCCTGATATTTAGGCTTTTCTGGCCACCTTTGGAGTTCCATTTTGATATTTGCCAATAGTGCTTCATCTGCATGATCCAGCAAGCCTATTAAATAGTAAGGTCGAAGTCATGGCCTTGATTAATGTTTTTCAAGCTGAAAATGACCACATTATTGAAATTGGGTTAGAGGGGACTGGAAAAGATTGAGTTGCCAATTGGGAATGTATTTTTTATAGCCATATTAATGTGTTGCCTGTAGAACTATGAGGCTACCAAGTTTCAATGATCTCTGCTGTATATATGGTTTGCACTTGATGTAATATTGGGTTTGGTGTATGACATCATCAGTCCTCTTATTTGCATATATTTTACACATTTTAAACTTAAATATCTCCAGAACTAATGCAGATATTTGCAGAGGTAAACAGCGCTTTTTGTAATCTATAGTGGAATTCTATTTGATACTCCTAAAAATTCTGAATCAAGGGGTAAAAATTTCATGATAGTAGCATGCCAAATCATTGAGTTGAATTTATGCTGCTGAGATTTACATGTACTGCAAGGTGTTGAAGAGAATTTTGGAGGGGAATTTGGCGTGTTTATTGAATTGCCAGAGGTTGGTTGGCTGGTTTTGTTATTGCTTTGTCGTCATCTTCCATGTATTTTTTTTTAAAGCAGAGTGGTTGGTTGCAAAAGCAAAACTGGCAATATTCTCACTTACCTGTGTTTCTAAAGTCATGTTTTTAGGTTTTTGTGGTCAGTCTATTAGTAGCTGCACTGTCTTAAATTACAATAGAAAAGATGTGATGTTAATTATGTAAGTTATACTTTGGTATTGTTCATACCAAAATTATAGTAATTTTCTGGTTCAATGTTTGCCTCTGCATTAATTTGATTAAACTACTGCAGTTTATTTTTTAATCGAATTTAACTCTGTCAAAAGGGAGGTGGGAATCTAAGAGCAATAGTAAACTAGACCAACAAATATACAGAAATCTTCCACCATTGCTTTCGTGGCTGGGTGGAGATGAATCTAAGTCAGACCAAAATTAGAAAAAAAATTACTGATTTAATGTGATTATGGAAATGTTGGAGGGTTGAAATGGGATCCTGGCTATG